GACAATTTAGAATCACCAATTAACCTCAACATGTTTTTGGACTGTGTGGGAGGAAGAACCCGGAGAGAACCCACGCTGCATGAGGAGAACATGCAAACTCCAAGCAGAAAGATCCCGGGTGTCCTCACCAGGACGCAAACCAGCGACCTTCTAGCTGAGGCAATGGTGCTAACCACCAAGCCACCTTAAAGCTGCAATATGACCATTAAAAAGATCCAGAAAATGACAGTGAAAAGTTTTCAATTTAAGTGACTCCATTAAGTCCTGAATGTGGTTTCTAAGATCTTAATCGTCATTTTTCATTAACAGAACAGTAGTCTGCCAGGAAACTTTCCCTCCAGTTCTAAGTTACTGCATAAACGACTGAGTTAATGTTTGAGGGGTTTCAAATTACAATAAAAAACTGCAAGATGACAACTGAAAAGATCCAGGAAACTGACAAAAAAGATTCAGTTTGTAATGTAAGTGTTGTAGTTAAGTCCTCAATATGATATCTCAGATCCTAACAGCCATTGTTTTTATTTTTAGAACAGTAGTCTACCAGGAAATGTCTCCTTCAGTGTCAAGTTTTCAAAGTTACTGCATAAACAGCTGAGGTAAATGTTTGATGGGTTTCAATTTGCGATCTAAGTGTTTCAGTTAAGTCCTAAATATACTTTCCTTGGACAGTTGTCCTCCAGGAAATTTACTCCTCAGCTTTACACTGTTAACAGTCGGTAGTAAAAGTTAGAAGGTCTCGAGTACATGTAATCCTTAATTAGCTGTTGTCACATTTTCATGTATCTAGTTGACATTTCTTTTAAAACAAAACTATTTTCTTAGAAGGATTATTTTGATTTAGACTTTTCCTTTCCATGAAGCCTAGAGTTCAGTCCGAGGTACTGCATATCAAGGAATGAAATGAAGGAATTACAGTCGGCAGCTTATTGCCAAGTTTCTTCAATCATGTGTGTCCAGCTGACAGCAAAGACACACACCAAACAAGAGATCAGCTGACCACAGGAGTGGCTGTCACTGCAACACACCTCCTCCTTATGCAGGTAACGCTGATAACTTATCCAAAACCAGCTCCTGGGAATTTCTCCAAGTCAACACTGCCTGTTTGAAGTTGCTATAACAAGGTCACCTAAACTGCCACTTGTTTTACGGATCAGTACCAAAGCCACTGCCGATACAGATCAATACCTGTCACTTCATCAGACATCATCACAATCCACTTTAGGAGTAACATCTCAGGAGCTACACCAGAGGGAATAGCAACAGACTCACTCACTGAATATTCTCTTTTAATAGCCCCTGCTATCAGGTACTGGAGGCAATAAGCATCATTTTGATGTTAATGTTTGAGTATGTAGTATGACTGACCCAGGAGTACATGACCTTATTAAACTGCATATATAATGCAAGTTGAAAGCCCATACTCTATTGTTTTTCCTGACACTGAAAACTTAAAGCAACCTTTCTCAAATTATTCTCACGTGCATGAACAAACACTGCACACAAACTTACCCAGCATTATTACTGACAGCAGTGATGCCCTTAACACCGGTCTTCAGCAAACTGTTGATAAGATTCTCTGGAATACCACATAATCCAAAGCCTGTGTTGGGGGGGAAAAAAATAGTGATGCATTACAAACAACACAAAAAAAAGTTGACGCAACCAACTGTGTGAAAGGTGAACTACGCTTATTTAAGGTAGAACTTTCACCTAGTAGATTACGTCCATGGCAGGTTTGTCCAAAAAAAGATGATCTCAACAATTACAAGCCACGCAGGAAAAACCCAAAGTCCGATAACCTTGAATCAAACTCCAGGTAATTCCAGGCCAGTGTGTGTGTAGGGTGTCAACAACTCCAACATTACACTGACTGAGGCTGTTTTCTGTATGTCTGTTGTTGTTTTTTTCCATTCAGAAGTGTGACACAGTGGAAAGTGTTCAACAATGTCACTTTGAACTTGACTATAAATAAGAGCTGTGGAATTTGTGTGTGCACAGTGTGTGGAAGCGAAGCAACCAGCATTGTAGAGTTAAATGAGCTGTAAAGTGGTCCCTGCACGAACATACATTGTTCAACATGACGTTCCATTACTTCACAGGACTTTGCATGCACCAAAACGTGTATAAAAGTATGCTCGTGAAAGTCTTCTGTATTACCTCCCACCAGAATGGTAGCTCCATTAGGGATATCTTTTACTGCCTCTGTAGGGTCCGAGTAGAACTGTGAGCTTCTCTGGCCGGAGGTGGAAAAGTAACAGCCACAGGTCTGCAGAAAACAGAAGAGAACAGGAGGTAAATTAACCTTGAAACATATGTTTTGTATGTATAAAAAGAGCTCTAAGTGATTCAGAATAAAAGCATATACAGCTTAAAAATAAAAAAATAAAAAATAGCTGGACGCCTGAAAGCAGCTAATAGGATTGTACAGTTAAACGGCTGATCCGGCTCATTCTGTGGAGGACGGGAAAGATAAACAGAACCGCTGAACAGAATCCCACGACAAAAGGAGCAGAGATTTGGGAAAGCCCACAGCCAAGAGCCCCGAAACAACAGTTTGCTGAGGACTCCGATTTGAAATCCTGCGTTGACTCTCGCCAACTAAAATTGCAATAAGTGGCCAGATTATTTCTAAAAATATTTTTGCAAGGCATTCTCCTGCTTTGCCATGAGTCACATCGCAGACAGTAGATAAGTTACAAAGGGATTACCACCAGGAAGGCCTGCAAAATCTCAGACATGATACTGATTTCTAAGAAAAATAAAACTTCTAGATATAATCATGCCTTTACCACACTCTATGATGTTTTTCTGAACACTCTCACTAACTGTGTGGACCTGAGTACCTACTAATAATCTATGAACTTTGCATTTATTTATTATGCAATAAAAGACTGACAAGTTTGGTTGCAAATTGCAATGTCAAACATGTTCTATCCTGCTTTGGTAGGGATCATGTAAGCACCTCTGGTAACTTTTCTCTACAACACATGCTTTGGCCCTGGACGCATTAACTACACCATCAACATGTCAAGCTGCATGTCTGACAAACGTGTATCATGAGTCAGTGATCGATCATATGAGCGCAGCTGATCTGAATGTGCCTCATTTCCTCCTGAAAGTTGCCAACAGTTTGTAATACGGTTGCGACATGTGTTGTGTTGAGAACCCCCGTCAGGTTACGTGGGCCGCAGGTGGAGGTCAGTCCACGATATCAAGCAAACTTAAACAATATGTAGAGACTGCTAAATTGTCCAGACTCATCTAATCCCCAAACGTCTAACAGCAAAAATAATAAGAGTCCCCATGATATTATGACATTTTAATCTTGCCCCGCCATTTCTAACAGCCTCATTTCAACCTCTCCGCTATGCATTAGCGTCAGTGTTTAAATACAGACCTTGCTGAATTGGTGGTTGGCGAAGTTTAATTTGGCTCTGCGGGGACCGGGGAGGTTTTTGAAGAGCACAGTCTCCGCTCTGCACAGTGCTTTGAGGGCCGCCATGTTTTGGAGCTACACACACTGGTGGGGATGGATGAGCCGAGGAAGAGGCGCTCCAGCCGCTGGACGTCCTTATTGGGCTGAACGGTCGCGGACTGGCGGCTAGTTAGCGCAGCTAGCCGAGCGCCACGATGACATTGGCTGGTGCCTCGATGGGACGGGCTTAGCGGAGGGGGGCAACAGAGAGGCTCGGCTAGCTAATTTAAATTTAACCCTCTCACCGCCGCGACGCTGTCATGGAGCGCTCGGCGCACATCCGCGGTGATATAACGTTGCCGCGGAACGTGGCGCTGACCGAAAATTAATGCGGGAAGCGGCGGCGTTAATTGCGCGCATTAAACGGCTCGTTTAGCTAACCCGCGCGCGTGCACGCAACATAAACTGAAATGACATTCTATGAGCACGTGAGTAATCCCTGGCTCACGTGACGAGCACTTTTAGTCATGGCCGACGACTTCAGGCGACAAGGTTTCGAGTTGGAGAGAAGGATATTCGAGTTAGACATCAAGTGTTCGAGTCTGAGAGCTGAAAAGCAAGGTATCGATAAGATGCGCTGCGTTTTTTTTGCCCTACGTCCGTTCCTGGCACCTCGTGTGCGTGGCTAACGTTGTTTCTTAGTTTATTAGCCGACTAGCAAGCAAGCTAACTTAACGTTACCCAGCGCAGGTTAGCTTGCAGCCATAACAACAGTCGCTGTCCGGTGAAATGATGCATATTGACAAACAACGTCTATTCTGACGGGTAACTAACATGCCGTAGAAAGTTAACTTAGCAATGTTTTCGTGACGTTTGCTTGTTTGGTGGTGATTGTTTTTGAATATGTGGCTCATTCGAGTTAACGGCTAACGTACGTTTGCTAACGTTAGCCAAAATGCAGTATTGTTGACAAACGTCCAGCTGGCTATGGGACATAACCAGCTAAACGTTTGGGATTGAATCAACGATGTGCTTACATCGCTATTACTTCATGCTAAACTGTGACATTACGTTTAAATTTGCTATTACGTCTCGATGTCAAAAAAAATGAGAATATTAGTATGCGTTTCTTGCCATACGTGATTATCTGCGGAGCGATCGCATCATCTGGTCAATTTGTTGATGACGTTTTTCTAATTGAATTGTTTTGCCAAAACATGTGCAGTTTTAAAGCGTCAACCATCAATGACAGCACACAAGATTGCGTAGCTCAGAATACATACTTTCTCAGTTATGGTTTGCAATTGGTAATACTAACATATCGTTCTTCCATAGATGATGACTATTTACAGAATGCGTCTGCCATACTAGACAAGTTGAAAAGCTTTTACAGACAAGGAGGGGAGAGTAGCAACCTTTCCAAGCTGCTTCAGGATTACACGCAGGTACTTCACTACACCAAACTTCTTGAAATGTCTAGAGCTGTAATTAATGGTTATAATTGTCAGTGTGTATGATTTTTTTTTTTTCATCAATTAGTTCTAAAACTGCAGAAAGTAGTGAAAAATGCACATCGCAATCTCTAAACTCAAGGTGATCTTGAGAATGCTTGGGAGATCAGATCATGACTTAAAATGTTTATTCATGTATGTTTATATAAAAGTGCATTCTTACATTCAGAAGCTGGAACCAGCAAGTGCTTGGCAATTCTTCTTGATCAATAGCACACTCAGAATTACCTAAATTGTCTTAAAAACAAAAATATTTACCCCAACGTCAAACCTGCAGAGGCTGTTTAGTTTCTTTGTGTTCAAAAGCATAGACATACCAGCTAATATCTTGGCTTATAGAATGTAGGACTAAAAAAATATGCTTAAGCTGTGGAAAAAAGATAGGTAATAGGATATTAGGCCTTAAGGGATGCATAGAATAAGGGAACTTTCAAAACCAGTGTGCTGCAGTCAGTGATTAGTAGTACATGTGTAACTTCGGGTGCTTTCCATTCTGCTAATGATGCTTTCTCTCTTCGTCCCTCCTCTATCCTCCAGTCAAAAACCTGGATGTTCCAATCCTTTAGATAATGATGAGATAAGAGATTCCCAGGGGAACTTACAGTGGAAAATCATGAGCGTATCTTATACACAAGTTTTTAGTTTTTTTCTTACTGGGTGAGAACAATAACACCACTTTGGTCACCATGATTTATTTATTTGTACGCTGGTCTGATGGGGCAGCACAAGGAGCAGGTGTACTGTTGTGGAAACAACATCACTGTGGCATTAATGTTCCATGATTTTAATGCTCTCAACAAACTGCCTGTGAAAATAGGAACAGCAGGATCACTGTTTGCCTCATGAAGGTCTAGCACCAAAACCGCGAGCTAATAAATGTATCGTTGCATGTTAGACAGTGTGCTGGAGTCTGATTGAAATAGTTTCCCCCTCCTACGTACCTGCCTCATGTAATAGAGGTGCAAAGAGTTTCTTTAGGTTATACATCATGTAATTTTGCCTATTTTTTCTTCATATTTTGATTATTTTAATGTCATATTCTGTGACTGATGCAATACACACACACACACACACACACACACACACACACAGAAGGCTGGCAAATTACATGAAAAGCTTGAACCTCTTGACCCCTACAGTGAGGCAATCTGCTGGCTCTGCTAGGCAGGGGGGGGAAGAATGGTCATTCAGAAAACAGTTGTTCTGAGTGATTACTTTTGGTGAAATGTTTCTAGCGTGATGGAAGTAGTCTCTGCCAGGGTGTCAGTGCCCCCATCCATAGGGCACGAGAGATTATTAAGTAGTATGAGAACGATGTGAATCATTCGCTATCGTCTTCACCAATTGAACACCTATTGGAGATTTTAGACCGACATCTTAGACAGCGGTCTCCCCAGCCATCATGAAAACACCAAATGAGGGAATATCTTTTGTAAGATTGGTGTTCATCCCTCCAATAGAGTCCCAGAGACTTAAACTATAACTTATTGCTCCAATTGAGATGCTGTGGATTATGATGAGTAATCACCATCTTACTGCTGCATCCCTTCATCAGCACATCTCAACATAGAGATGCAAGTGAGGGAGGCAACATTAGTCACATGGAAAGCACCCCGGGTTATGTGCAGTGGTTTAATCCTTGATTGAAAAGGTTTAGTGAGGTTGTAAATGTCAGGTTGCCACTAATCAAGCAGCTACTGCAGTTTTTTTCCCAAGTTAATTAGATATGTGTCAGGAAACTTAAAAATGTTAAACTTTTATAAACAGGATTTTAATGAGTTATTTAGAGAGACAGTTGCAGCTGTGGCTACCACTTTCTGGCAGGTATAATATCAGCTCAATCCCTAATTTGATTTACCTTATGAATCAAGAGCTTAAAAAAATCATTTAGTGAGTAGAGGGAGGTAATTATATCTGACGACTTTAACAGATTATTCAATGTTGTCTGTGGATCTACATTTGCTTTTCATCATTTAGGTTATTCTAGACATCACTTTTTATGAAGAGAATAAACTGGTGGACCAGGAGTTCCCCGAGGACTGTTCACCGTTTAAAATCCAGCAGCTGCTGCAAGACCTGACCGAGCCAGAAGTTTTGGCAGCGAGGTTAACACCAACGCAAGAGGTATGCACGTCTGTCGGAGTGTGGATATGTGTGGCGATGTGTTTCATGATACTCCACATAACTAGTGAAGTCCTTGGCATTAAATCAAGATCAGCGACAATATCACAAAGTATCATCTAGTCCAGTTACTTCAATAGAACTATAGCTATGTATAGTTTGTTAGTTTGGTTAACTGTAAAGTATAACTTCTGTAATAGGTCTGTACCGCTTTAATTTTCTTCTTTGTGTGTGGTCCCACAATACACACTTGGGCACACACACCTTTGTGGCATGGAAGTACCGTGTCATCATGTGACGGTTCTGTTCCTGGTGTCTGACAGGTGCAGTCTGTATTGGGCCTAGAGCTGTTAGAATGCCTCTACTGGAGACGTGGAGCTCTGCTGTACATGTACTGCCATACCCTCCATCAGAGGAAACAGTGGATCAAGAAGAACAAGGATACATTCCTTAAGGTACCACACTGTGCAAATATCTAAGTGAATTCAACAAATATTTCTTGTGAAAACAGAGGTGAGATAAGCCGATCCAGCTGTACAAACGTACTTCGCTTTGGTGTTAACAGTAGTTTAGTTTCCAGTGGTTTTTGTTGGCACATGCTGATATTAGATCTAATGCACATTTTGACCCAGTGTATTCAGGAAGGTGTGCGCTACCTGATGCGGATGCTGCAGGTGAGGAACTCTGTGAAGCTCAACGATGGGGTGGTGCTTCATGACACCGCTACAGCAAGCATTCTATCTGAAGGTAAATTATATTCTCAGTTGTCTTGTTATAACCAAAACTGTCCTGCTGCTTCTGTTTGATCACACTCGCTGCTCGCTTATGTTTTCCCATCAGGCATCTTTTCAGACACACACCTGTTGACGATGATGTACATCGGGGAGATGTGTTTCTGGGCAGTCAAGTACGAAGACTGCAGCGCTGACACTATGGACCGTAAAGAAGATCGCCTCCAGTTTCGGGACATTGGCACTCAGATCCTCAACAAATATGTGCTTGCCTGCGAGGGCCCTCTGCAAGGCCAGGGCTGGAACACAGAGAATGCCAAGGAAATCCTTAGTATTTTACAGTGAACCAAGCTGCTCGTCTGTTGAAGTTGCCCTCAGGCACAGATCTAAGTTCAGTATTCTAATGTGTCAATCCCAAATAAAAATGGAGCCCATCAGATGGGGTGTAATGTTGTGGAAGGTTACGGGGAGGCACGGGGAGGAAGTGTATGTGAAGAAAGAGTCTTTGGATCCGTGCCTATAGGCAACCTAATCTTATGCCAAACGGCCCAGGCCAAAGCAGGCGAATGAGAGGTTAGAAAGTATAAGACTGACAGTGTAAAACGGAGACTGCACCGGAGGCTGTTAAATAATTATTTGCCCTGTCCTGCTGAAAGAGCAGTTATCATCCCGATTCCAGACTGTTGACTGGGGCACTTGTTTTGCTCTAAGAATGTGTTATAATAACATTAATATTACTATAAAGAGGTTATTAATAAAAAATAAAAAAAATTGACCTTTTTTTTTTTTTTTTTCATTTTTAAGATTGTTACAAGTTTAAAGATAATCCAGCTGGAGGTGAGACATTGCACATTAACATTTTATTTATTGTTTTGTTGCCATTTTGTTATGCTTTTAATATATTATAATAGCATATACATTATATATGTATGTGTGTATACAACATACACGCACAAAGGCAAAGAAAGGTGTTCAAAACTGTTTGACGAAAATGTATTCATGACCAATTTGAAGTATGTTCAGGTTTGTTCATACCAGCTTTGTAATGCCACGTGTATTTCCATCTGTTGCAAGTTCCTTTTTTTTTCTGCCACTTGGATAACATTGATAGTGTAACTATTAATAGAGAATCTGTGTTGTTTGGACAAAAATCATTTTCTGTTTTTTATGTCCTCGTTGACAATAAACACGTGCTTTGTTTTAAGAAAAAAACAAAAAACATCCTTATTTTGCAGTACAACTCCTTATAGCGGAGATACGACTACAATACCCACAATGCCCCATTCCTGCCACTAACAAGGAAGTGCGAGAAGTAGTGAAACGTCACAGCCCGGAAGTACTCTGGAAACGTCGACTTTGTTGTTGTTTGCGTGTCGTTTGCTAGTTATTTCACATAACATCGCACAGATTTGAAGTCATGGCAGAAAAGATCCAGCAGCTCGAGTCTGTAGTTATTCGCAGCCTCAGGCGCTTCAGAGAGCGATATTTTCCGGAAAAAGTTGTCAAAGAAAACTTGGCGCCTGTTGCAACTCCAGCACAAGAGGAAGCACAATCTGGATTTTTGGACATCTTACCGGTAAGGTAGAAGGGCCTTTCATTGGCAATTCATTGGAGGTATTTTTATTTTATTTTATTTTTGATTTTTTTGTCACTGTCAGGTGTCAGGAAGGGAAAAATAACCTAAAAACAACAACATCCAAACAGGGCAGCATTTGACCGAAATTAATGCTCCTCTGTGAACTTGCTAAAAATAAAAGTAAAAAAAAGAAAAAAAGCTTTATATATTGTGTGTGGTATGTTGTTGTTTTTTCTGTTAAAAAAAGAAGAAGCAAAAAACATCAGTTAATTTGCCTGGTTAGTAATTCTTAAATTGACGTGTACTTCCAGATTTGGGGTTAATTCAGAGAAACGCTGCGCTTTCAGCCAATAGACAAAAATGACATTCACCTATCCATCTAGTTGAATCATCCCTGTAACGGAATTTAAAGCGTCTATTTTTTTAAATGTTATTTTATTTTTATTTTCAAGCCACTTAAAGCCACAACAACCTAAAGCAATGGGTTTGTATGACTTGAATCACTATTTACTTTTTTTTATTTTATATGACTGTTGTTTATTGTGTAGCAATGATGTAAAGATGCTGAAGAAATTCTCCGCTGATACCGTCTCGCTGATATATAAAAAAGTTAATTCATACAAGTGCAGTATCTCAGATGTCCGTGAGAGGATTCGAAGCCAAAAAGAATCGCCCTCCAGAATAAACAAAACCACTGACCCATATAGGGGAGTTGTTTTTGTCCAACGAAGAGCCAATAAGTTGAACCATATGGGTAACCCCCCAACATCTAGGCGATGAGACAACTTCCTTCAGTAACCTCTGACCTGTTCACTTTATCAAAACATTCCAAGCTTGTGGGGGTAGTATGTCAGATACTACAGACGATACTTCTCACTACATAAAATGAAACGTGCATTAATTTGTGCCAAGAACAAATGAGCCAAACACAGGAGGAAAAAAAGAAGCACAAGACAATTCCACAATATAATGTCTGTACCGTTTTAAATGCAATGTCTTTACTGTCAAGAATATTTCACATTGCAGAAATGCTAGATTAAAGGTCCTGTACATCTCTTCCACCAGTGATTGAGTCCCATCTTAGTGAAGAATGAAGGATGAGGGAGATTGATTATAGAGTTTCTGGTGCTATTGATCATTTGCTCCCTGCTTCCATCTCTGCCTGGTTCCTAATCAACCCTTAGCCGTAATCTGTCCTTGAAGATGGCTCAGACTAGGAATTAAATTAGAACAGACACTCTCATGGGCACAGAACTGAAAAAGAAAGGTCGTCAGGTGAGGACCATACAGAAAATATACCTGTTAACAGTGTTGAACAGTGATTGCAATCATTTCTGTCTCCTTGCTCTTGAAGGTGGACGTGCAGTTCCTGATCATGACCTTTCTGTCTCCTGCGGACATCTGTCGTCTGGGAGCCACCAGTCGGTACTGGAGGGCCATGGTTAGAGATCCGTTACTATGGAGATACTTCCTGTTGCGAGACATGCCGTACTGGCCCTCCATAGATCATGTGAGCATGCCCAATCTGGAGCTGCTGGATGCACCATTAATCAGTGAAGACGAGAGCCTGGACGATAGAGAAGAGGGGGAAGAGAAAGGGATGGAACTGAAATTTGACTACATGTCTGAGTGGGTACCGTTTGACATCATCCTGCTTCGCGGTTTGCTGGTAACACTTTTGTGGAAGAGTTTTTGAGTACCTTTTTATTTTTTATTTTTTGCTTTGTTTTGTCTCAACAGATACTTGAAAGGCTGCCCATCCTGCAGAAAGCAATGGCTTCCTTCACGGCCGGCGTATGAGGTGGTGACCTCATTTCTTCAGTCTCTGGTGCCCTCGTCTGAACCACGTTATGCCATGTTTGGTCCTGGCATGGAGCAGCTGGATGTCTCTTTAGTCACGAGGCTCATGTATGCCCCAGATATTCTTCCTGTGTCTGGAACTCCACACAGACAGATAAATGGTGAGACAATGCTGATGTTCAAAGCTCATGAGGATGTTTTGTTGTTGTTGTTGTTGTTTTTGTCATTAATAACAAACAGACAAATCCAAGACAGTTGTAAAGTTCTTTTTCAGCTGCTATAATTCTGATGTAATACAGATTTTTACATCATTGCATTTTAAGACTTAATTAAGATTTTGGATTCAATCAGGGGGAAAAAACAAACAATTATCTAACTTGTTGTAAGTTTATTTGTCTATCACTAGGTGGCAGTACTGACCCACCACCTTACTAATCACTCACAGCCCATATGTCACCACACCAGTGTAACCCTTTTCTTTTTTTATTCTAGGTATTGGCTCAGGGATCAGCTACATGTTTAACAACCAGCACAAGTTTAACATCCTGACTCTGTATTCAACCAACAGGTAAATGCTTCGTATTGCATGTCTCTTTTTCTGCACGTTATTGTGAGTACAGTTGTTAAACTCTGTGTGTTTGTATCTGCAGGGCAGAGAGGGAACGAGCCAGAGTGGAGCAGCAGAGCATCAGCAATAAACTCTTTACTCTGGAAGGAACCGACGAGTCAGGCGACCCGCTCTACAGCCCCGCTCCTCAGGTCCAGCAAGTGTGCCAGGTGGTGGATGGTTTCATCTACGTGGCCAATGCAGAGCCTGGAAGAGGTGAGACAACAATTCTGTTTGTCTTTGCTGCTGCTGCTGCTAGTTTTTCTGATTGATCATGAAAAACTGTGTCTTCCATAGGAGACGGGATGTCAGAGGTGGCCCAGATCCGTGCTGTCATGAACTGTGCTGGTGGTGCCACGTCCAGGCCTCTGCTGGTGCTCTCCTGCATCTCCAGAGAACCATCTGAAGCAATTCCAACCGCCGCCCAACAAAACGACACAGACAGACTCGGCACCAGGTGTCGAACTCCCTGCGTTGAAATGGCGAAGAGGCTCGGCCTACCCCAGCTGTCTAACCGCTGGATGGTAACTGCTTCTTATTTGATGAGCTAAAAGGCTTTTACATCCGTCCAGTTTGTAGAGATTTCCAACCTGCTTTTCTCTTTCACAATCAGGTGCAGGACACAGTGGCAGAATCTCTGTCAGGTCTTCTGGACGGCATTTCCTGGTTGCTGAGATGTTCGGGAGTCAAGCTCTATGTTAGCTAGTTTCCTGCTGCTGCCGCTGCTAGATGAATTGAAACCAGAGACCTCATTGCCTACATCCTCCTGACACCAATACACACTACGACGTCTTCTGAGTAATGTGTACCATGCGCGCGCTGAGTGTTTCCGCACTGACCGTGGAATTTAATGAACTGCATGAGCAGAAGAAGAGCCGGGTTGATAACTATTATTCATCTGGGACGTCGAACATGTAAGTATTTACAGAAAAATCAATATAAAGTAATTACAGCGTGACAGAAGGTTAAGCAAACACATGTGAGCCTCGGAGTGCCAACAAACTTGTCTTGAACAGGGTTTTCTGCACAGCAATAAATGGTTGATGTAGCTGGAGGACCGCAGAAAAGCAGGAAAACAGACAAGCTCGGGTGCAGAAGTAGAAAATAGAAATGCTGTACACTTTGAATTTGCTGTAAATTTTTTATATGTGTTGCTCTTTATATAAATACATGCTACTTTAATTTATGCACATGATATGGTGAGGTGCTAATGAGCCAAGTGGTTAGAAATAGAGGGATATGCAACGTGTGGACATTTTCTCACCTATTTTCAGTGATTTATTAGAATCATGATTACATACATTCATAAAAGTTGTATGTGCCAACAATCCACCTACAAAAAGTCCTCATAAGTTCCTTTGTAACTTGTAAAAGCTGCCTTCTGATCAAGATTTGCACACATTTTATTTATTTGCCTAAAATATATTTTGATTATCCAATGAAGATTTTTTTCCCCCTTTTTGAATGCTGAATACTTTTATGACATTGTTTACATCTTTGCACTTTGTTCTACAAACAGTTTCCAAATCAGTAAACTGCATTTGAATCATTCTTATTTCTGTCTAGTGCCTTTATTTTATTCTTTAAAATCATGGTTGAAGATGTTTCCTCTCTATTCATTTCGTGTGTTCAATTTCTTTCCTTTGACGTCAAGCAGGTAATCCACGTCTATATGTCAGCAAGCATGAAATGATGTTTTGTTTCAGCCACCAGGGAGCGCCGCTGATAGGTAGCTACATGAGTCATTGCTTGGCTCCCATAAGTGCTGCATTTCTAACTGTTTTAGTTGCTTGCTAACATGCCAAACTAACAGGGCATCACATTTTCAACGACAACCAAAAGCATTACATCTCACAGTGGGATGTAAAGACGCAACCAGGTTTCACAGAAATACCTTCCAGCACAGCTTTGAAATATCCCCGGCAGCAGTATGGATTTCCACACCGTAAAGGTTATTACAAAGCTTTCACCTACACATAATTCAGATTCCCATTTCGGAAATGCCTGAAAATCCATCTCTGTCCATCTGGTGAGTATGAAAAACGCCCATTTCTGATCTACACTGTATGGAAAGTAGAATAACACTGTTCTACTTTTGTACGTGTAGATTTTCTGAAACTGTATTCCGGCGCAATTGCAGCACTTAAATCATCACATCCCTCCCTCTAACGTGCTAAAGTCATGTTCGCGATCTGAAAATGACCACCTGTTTCGTATTCACAGTCCCTGGTGGTGGTGTTCGCGCGCTGTAATGGCAACAATAGAATCATTTTTACAGCATGTAAGACATGACAAGATAATGGGCTTCGGTGATGCTCTTACGTTCTAGTACCCTAGGTAACCACAAATCACTGGCAAAAGTATGCTTCCCTCCCTCCCTCCCTCCCCCCACGACTAGGCCTTTCCATCAAAAGGTTCCTTAGTCTCGGCAGTCATTTTCATACACATACAGTTTTATAAAAAGACCATGATTGGTGCAATTTGGGTGCATTAAGCCGAGCTGAACGCTGGTGAAGCGGAGATTGAGTCTTTTTTATTTATTTATTATTTTATCCTGGTGATATTTATTTTTAGGGAGATGATGGGTGTGTGTGTGTGTGTGTGTGTGTGTGTGCCTCTATGTGTGATTTGTGTGTTTCTGAGAGAGACAGACAGACCGATGGACCCTGATTTCTTATCTCTACATACCTCTCTGCTCTCTGTAAACAGGATGTCTTTCTCTTTGGTCTTCACTCCGCAGTTATTTACCTACAGTGTGTGTGTGCACATGTGTACAGAAGTATGGGAACCTGTTTTTAGGGCAGGTATGCAGTGACTAACATCCCCTAATCCTTTGTTATTGCTCTGATCCTGATGAACCGCCGCTGACTGGCACCGTCAGCGTGCACCACTACAGTCTGAATGAATGAAGAAGTGAATGAAGACAAGGAGAAACAACTGTATTACTGCCAGGCTGTGTTGAATCCGCAACTGGAACTTGCTTGGATAGGATATTTTCAAGGTTTGTTTATTTAGACCGCAGACTGTGAACCATTAGCACACATCCCCACATAATGGTGGTTGGAGTTCGGGTGGAGGGGGGGGAGGATCCAGAGCCGTGTTGTGGAACGGTGAATGACTACCAGACATCCAGCTGCCTCTTGTCTTCCACAATCACAAGGGGCCTCTGGGATTTGATGTCATGAAGAAGAAGAAGAAGAAGAAGCCCCTGTTTACTGACCCAAGACAGCTTACAGACACATGCAACATTATGAGGACAGTTGAAGCGCACCATGCGTGTAAGACGTGTATTAGAGTCAACAGAACGAATGTGGTGGAAATGCTGTGTACATAAAAGGGGAAAACAGAGTCCAAATCTGTGATTCGAGCCTGGTGTGATGCCAAGTGGTCGAGATTTGTGTCTGTGTGAAATGCAGTTAGTAAGGTTCTTTTAAAAAATGCAGTATTTCATAGACAGCCTGTTTACTTACGTAACACGGCGAATGTTTTGGCGGAGGTATTTCCTATATATTCCCGGAGGTTGTTCCTGCTCAATGAAACCTAAGTTTTCTCGCGGTCGGACATATAGTATTTCCAGCAATGGCCTTGTTTGAGTTGGTTTACATGCAGCTTTTACGCGTCAAACACTGAATTTTGAGAAGCGTATTTACCAGAATTGCAAAAGAAGTGGTTCTTTTTTTTTTTTCTACAAAGATTTACACTGGAATTAAATCAAAATAAGCTTTTTGTTGAGTACATATTTTTTGAAAAGCACAGTTTCTCTGTAGCTACATGAAAACAGGCTTAAATGGACACACTCAAAGCAACACTTTCACAAGGTAAACCCATCATTTAGCAGCAGCTATTACTCCCGCCTTGCTCGTAGCATTTCAGATTTGTTGAAAATGCATTTGTACGTTCCAAGTCTGCAGCTCTTTCTTGATTCTGGTTCATTGTATCCAAATCAAAAGGGAAGGATCAAGCACCGTTAATGCGCACATTGCAGAAGGTAGAGTGGATACAACAATACGAGTAAACACACAGATGCAAAGTTGAGAACAACGTAGCTGCTGTTAATCTGATGAACTTGACTCTGAATGCTGCTCTCTGCTTCAAATCCACCGTCATTCACCAACTTCTCTTTTTTTTACACCACTCTCTCTGTGTTCCTCTGTCCCTCTCCTCCACTCTCTCCTCCTTTCATTAGAGTTAAGTCCCTGATTTGTATTCTATGATAACACCAGAGATTAAAGTAGGCATTGAAAAAAAAAAACATCATTTGCATGATGCATTCAGTGATTAGGCTAAGCGTCCCTCTTAATTGTGTTGTTTTGCACATGGCGGGGCTCTCATGCTGATACTCTGTGGATCTTACTCATCCCGTGCAATCTTACCAATTCGCTTCAATTTCCTCCCCACTTCACCGCATCCGTCCCACCGACCTCATGCTGTCACATATACGGCAGGTTGGGGAGTTGGGATATTGGATTGGGGTTGAGAAGTATTAATGGTGAATTATTTGTGAATCACTCGAAGCCCATCAGCAGCTCTGCAGCTCAAAGAAGATATAGAAGCACAGTGATCCATTCATATATTTGCCGTCGTTCTTTATGTGTATGTGCGTTTAAGTGTTCCCCCTGTAGCCATGTCCTAATCTGATCGGCAGCAGGGAGCTGACATAGCTGCAAATGGCCACGCTTTGATGTGAAACTGCACTAAATGCATTACTGGTGACTTGAAGGGGATGACACAAAGGGCACTCTTTCATTAGGTGCGAAATAAAAACAGACAGCGAAACACAAATTACACGGCTATTGAAAGGCATGCTATTGCAGAAAACCAATTATGGGAATACGGCTGCGACTTATGTTGCCTGCAGCAACTCGGCTCGGTGGCTCAGAAACTGGAAATCAAACTGCCTTGTTGAACAACTATCAAAAAAAAAGAAAGAAAAAAAGACATAAAAATTGCAATCGATTCCTCAGTTCTGATGGAAATAATAGGAAAAAAAAGTTATGTGGAAATACAAAATGCAGCAAAACAACGTACTGTAGCTGTGTTTCTTTACACATGTATGAGCCAAATCAATACGTTGTGTGACATGTTCCTTTAAGACACTGAACACGGGGTGTATTTCTTCTTTTACTGGCCCTGCACACACTGAGCCCTGCTGTAAATATCACTGACACACTAAATCCCCAACAAGGGCACCATTTACTTCAGTTGTTGAAAACTGCATTTTAAGGAAAGGATTTAAACTTCATTTAAAATAAGAAAATGTTCATATGAACCTATAATCTTGGGGCTGAGCACAGAATGGGGGAAATGGAAGATAAATGCAGTGGATGACTGGTTCTGGTCTGATTTTCTGACTCTAACAAAGAAACACACCAGCCTTTCCTTAGACACTGATTATTATGTTACATTTGTGACTTCAGGAGAATGGCAGGGGAGAGTTATGGACAAAATCACTTAGAATGAAACCACTAAATGCATCAAGAAAGTTTCTTCAGACAGAACTTGTTGGCGGTCTACAACTGCAGCCGTTCATGCATAAAAACTACGTGGCTCTAATGACAAATAATAGATGGAATTATTCAAAAGCAATATCGTTTTCACAGCCGCTGCAAAGACGAACACAAGAGCTGTCGGCACACATCCCACAGAGAGCTCCGGGGACCCAGTAACAGGCCTCCGGTGCATTCACAGTGGCATCAGTCTGTGGGCCAGATGCATTGTTCTGTTGTCACATCCAATACAACATAAGTCCACATGATTTAATAACAAGGGAACTAATTCACTGGACGCCCCCACTCTCCTCCAATCGGAGGCTCTCAGTCGCATAAGTCACAAGTACAGGAGACATGTTCAGGGGTCATTTAATACACACAAATAGTTGTTTTTTTGTGTGTCAAGTGAAACCAAGCAAAATAGAGCAAACTCACCTGAGTTCACCTTTTGTGCAAACATGGAGTAAGGTGAAGGAAGTTTGTGTGCACACATCGCTTTCATTAAATTTACTTCAGTCGCAGCTCCCCCCCCCGGTGCTGCAAGTTATAAATTACAGTATTTATGCCGTTTGAGAGCAGCCCCGGTGTGTCATCGGGTAATTTTTTATGTCGCAGTGCACTTTGGAGGACTTGGAAAAGCCGAGCCATAACTTGTGGACCTTGTAAACGAGAAAGGGACGGGGATATAAAAACACAAGGACGGCTGTGCTCGGTGCAGACGGGCCGGGTCCATTTCTTTCCCATCACATCACAAATTATGTCAACTCTGCATCAGTGCACACGCAGGAAGAAGAAGAAGAAGAAGAAGAAGGCATGGGATGAATAAAGTCCAGACGTCATCTGTGTCTCCTGGTAGTTTGTCTCCATGCTTTTGTTTGTCTTTACAGCTCAACATGTTGCTGCCTTTAACCTCTTCCAGTTTGGCCTATTTTCTGTTTATGAGTAAGATGTAGGCTTTTTGGAGGCCACGGCCTATTGCTTTGTTATTTTAGTGCAAAGGTTAACTCAACTTTACAGGGGGACCAAACTCCATCATGTGTAGGTGTTGAAGGATGCAGCTCTGCAA